TAATACTGATTCAAATGAAAGATGTATATATGTCGGTTCGAGGACTTAAAACAGAGAAACTCTTACTTGTTTGAAGCATTTTTGTTCCAGCTGAATCGCACGATATCATTTTTGTAGGCCTGGGGGCAGATTCTGTAACCAGTTAGCCACAATTTTCGAATCGGTTTTGTTGACGTATGATATGAAATATTTTTACGTCAACAAGTACGATATCGATTCGAAACTTGTCGCTAACCGGTTACAGATTCTCCCCGCTGGAAGGTTTCTTCATCCGTCAAAGCATTTTTCTTGAACCTTGGATCGACTAAGGTTAAAACGGATAAAATAATATTTCTCTGTTGCGATACGTTCAAGTGTTTTAGCCAATATCACAAAAATTAGTAATGAACGTTTTTTCTAAACTTGAAATGCATATAATGGCGAAGGTTTAATGTAAAGAATCGGTATCGGGTCCTGAAAAGGTTGTATTGGGTACCGAAATCTTTTTTAAGTATTGGGTACCGACAATTCAGCACATCACTAGGCAGCAGTTTTATTTGCCGCTCTCAGTTGTCAACTCAACGATGACGTCTCGCCAAAATTACTCTCACGAATTCTGCTGCAATCGGCGCAATCTCGTATTCTATCATTTTTGACGGCAGTATTTTTTAGAAAAAGGTCCATATTTCAAACCGAATTTTTTCATAAATTTGTATCAGAAAATTTTAAATCTTTATTTTAAACTAACGTTTAATTGTGTGCGTTTGAACACGATAACCCAAAATTATTGTACAAATAACCGAGCCGTACCCAACAAAATACCTTTTGCTTGTTCACATTTCGATTCTAAGAACAAAATGTTTGTAAATAAACAAAAAATTAATAACAAAATTTGGACAATTTTAGATATTGGATACGGTAGCACGAAATGTCACAATCTACTTAATTGTCAGGTTGTTAATATGGCGACGACAATGGAACTACCTTCTTTTTTGTATCATGTAAAAAACCTAAGACATAAGCATTTCAATTGCATCAGCCGCGTCTTTGCTATTAATCTTTACGCTATCACGACAAAATCACATAAGAGCCAAGAATGATAGAATACAAGATTGCGCCAATCGAGCTGAGAGCAACTGGCCGTGACGTCAAAGTATACCAGAATGAGAGAGCAAGACGAACTCGACAAGAAAAAGAGGAAGCATCGAACAAACGCAGTATTGCCAAGTTTTAAATTTGAAAAAGCACCAAATTTTTATTGGTGTATTTTTTGGACTTTATATGAATACATAATTTTATTGTAAGGATGCCGATTCAAATTAATAAAAATCAATGTTCCTTGCACAACGGTCGATTTCTTCTGCCATGATTGAAGGTGCTGCACATATTTCGTTGTCGCTTATGATTGTCACTGTGCCATGATTTTGTTTAAATTTTTGTAAAATTGCTTACCACACTTACGTTTGCTATAAATTTTGCTTCATTTTTTAAGATTTTCTAATTTGATGTCTTCAAACTAAAAACAAAAGCACCAAAAACGCACCAAGCACAAAACTCAAAAATTTTCGCGTTTTTAATACCCACTAAGGCTTTCTGCACATTGGTCGTCCAATCATAGTTGCTTCATCGTCACAATCATGATGCAACGATTACATGACGACTACACTTTCGCACACTCGGTCGTGATATTTCAATTCATTTGGCGTCTAAAAATTCATTTGGAGCAGGTATTTTCTGTTTTTCTGGTTGACATTTTCGCGAAATATTTACAAAAACCTGCAACTTTTAAAATATAGACTGTGCTGCAACAATTCTAGATATCGTTTTTCAGTAATATCTCTTCTTTTCTTTTCCTGAAATGAGTTTTGTGCATGCACACATAGACTTTTTACAATTTCGTCATATTTTATAGTTAAAACGCTCACATTTATTGAATCTTAATGCAATTATCCACTTTTTAATAATTTCTACAGATTTTATGCAATTTAAATGCAAATATTAACCTTTTCACAAATTTTTCCCCATAAAATGTAAACAAACAATGCATGCACAACGATTAGCAAACGACGGGGCCGTACTTATCCGTTTCTGCGTCTTCTACGATTTGCCGATAACTAGCCGATAACGACAAGTGTGCAGATCTCCTTTGCATGAACGAAAGACACAAGATCACGTAAGAACAAGAGAATGAAAAAAGTAGATTTTTTGAGCGGGTTCTATTAGGGCTTTCGCACGATGCGATTTTTCAGGCAACTTTTAGTTGAAAGCAAAAATCGCCTCGTCCGAACGGCCTTTCAACTAATCGCTTTCAACAAAGCTTGGTCGCCAGCCAACTTTGAGCTCGTTCAACTTTTTTTCCTTGCAACCCTGTGTTTCTTTACATTCTGTATCAGTGTTGGGAAATGAAATCGTTCCTTCAGTACGAAATCTATACAAAAAATGTACTTTTCGGCTATAAATTGTATACACTTTTTAATTCGCTCATATATTTTCTTAGTACATTCCCTTCAAGACCAATGATTTTATGGTATTCATGAGAAAGTTTTATTGTTTATGTACATACGTTTACGTCTTTTACACTTTTACAAATTGATTCCACGTGCACATGTACTGCATTTAACGCAAATATGTATGCACACATTTTCAGGTATACATCTTAACAAAAAGCATATTTAAGTTGATATTAATGGATAAAAGAGACATTTTCTTTGGATTCAGTACTAAAATTTGACATTTTAATAGAATTTCAAGTGCTTATCAAAGCTTTACGAGAAGATTTGACGATTTATCTTAATATTATTCGAATTTTAATTATTTTTTGTAAAAATACGCTTTATATTTTAAGAAAAGCCGTACAAATCCAAGGTTCAAACTTTTTGCAACATTAAAAAAACCAACACACTTTCGTAAAAATTTCGATCTATTTAATTCGATTTCCTAGATTTATTTTGAGTGTGTGGTTTTTTAGCCCATTAAATTTTAATACAACTAAGTTTTTTAAGATTTCTTTGATGAAGGTGTTGCTAATTTTCTCCATATAAAAAAATCGTCGAAGACACTTCGTATGGAACAAAATGGCTGACATCGTCGACAAAAAAAATTGCCAAGTTCAACGGTAAGTCCCAGCTACTTTAAACTTGCACTTTATTATACTAAAATTTAATGGGCTAAAAACTAAAGAATATTAATAAAGCTCGAAATTTTTACGACAGTATGTTGGTTTTTGGATGTTTCGCAAAGATTTAATCTTGGGTTTATACAGTTTTTCTTAAAGAATACATTATAGTTTATAAACAGATAATTAAAATTAAAGAATAATAAAATAAATAGTAAAACCTTGTCAATATGTGAGTGCCGTAAAGGTATTATATTTACGAAAATCTCTTCTTATAACGAACGAAGACTTTGTTTCTATATGAAGCTGACTTCGACATTTTGTTTTAATAAAACTTAGTATCGAAAAGTTTCTTTAAAAATTTGACTAGGCTATATTATACTGGTTCGTTGAAGCCATTTTTCAAAACTTACAATACGAACAGGCGAACCAAAGAGAATACAAAAAATTTCTTGCTGTGAATTTTCAGAGCTATATATTTTTAGTATTCTTTACAAAATTTTATTAAAAAGTACTGCGTAGTAGGAAAGTATATTGTAAATGAAATTGTATCAAACAAGTACAATTGTACCAAAAAATGCCAACACTGTTGTGTATACATATTTTTTTTCTTTTTTACTTTTTTACTCTTATTTTATCTTTCAGCTTCGCTAAAAGCACTTATACCAACGCTTGGCTTACCAAATTTACGCCAATTGATAAAATTTGGCGATTTAAACTCATTTTAAATAATGTAAACAACAATTCGAGTTGAATCGAAAATCGCCTCGTCTGAATAGGGATGGCAACTTTTTCACTTTCAACTTCTCATTCAACTCCGCATTCAACTTTTGTTGCCTGAAAAATCGCCTCGTGCGAAAGGCCTATATGCCATCTTGTTTCACTGGAAAACGAGCGAAAAGTAAACAAAGCAAAGAAAACAACGAAAACCAAAATGAGCCAAAATTATTGTCAGCCACTTTAAACGCACAATTTAGGTAAAATGATGCAACAAAATGCTTTAAAATGTGTTGTCATGTTGAATTAACTCTTCTTTACTTCAATAAAAGTGTAAAATAGTGGTGCTTGTGATGTAAACAAACGCTCAGCTGACGAACCCGCTTTCGCAAACTTTTTTCTCAAAACCAGTTACAAATACAACGTCGCGTTCTTACGTGATCTTGTATTTTTGGTTCATGTCTCCTTTGAAGGGCCTGTGCCAATCGGTAACTTTTTTCTCCAAGGTGAGACGGGGTGGAAAAATTTGCTATGGTGTACAAATAAATTGAATTTTGCTGTGCCAAATGCAGAGTTAAATTTTGACGGTTTGAAAAACCAAACAAACGCTCGTGCGAAAGCTTTATTTTTGTGTGTTGCTGAAATTCTTAAAATTATATTTATTTTATAATTTGCAAGTAACGTACGCTTTTTTATGCTGTTTCAGCTTTCATTTTCATGTTCTCTCCTTATTACCGCCAAGCAATATTATGTGTATAAGCTGTCAAAATTTTACCTAGCCCCATGAGCTAGGTAAAATTCTGACGTTCTTATTCACCACGAGAAATGTCAGATTTTTACTTTGATCCGTCAAAATTTTCTCTTTTCTATCATTTGGCACAGGCCCGAAATGCATGTGCTCGGCTCAAAATTTCAGGGCGAGACGATAACGCAACTATGATTGGGCGACAAGTGTGCAGATAGCCTAAATTTGGTGCGAAAAGCATCAAGTTGGCAACAGTGAATATAAACAAAAGTATTTTATGACGTCAGCGATTTGGTGGATGCTGTCAAATCGACGAAAAGATGGTTAGCGGTCCGCGAATGGCGCAACCTTTATTTTCTGGATCGTGCATATGAGCCGCTCACCTTCAGTGGCAAACAACAGCCTGCATGTTGGCGAGCATGCTCGCACACATGTTCGTCATGTGTTGCCAGTGTTATTGCGCCATTCAAGTGATATCAAGTGGAACATTTTCGATGCGTCGTAGCAAAACATCGATATTTTCAATGCATCGATATTTTTGCGACAATCCTAAATACAACTATTTCGGTACGTTGAATAAAAATTTAATTAACGAAAAGTGTTCTTTTCCGCAAATGACTGAGTTAGTTCGAGGAGAAGCGTCCGAATCGGATGAAGAAACCCATATAAAAGTATATACATCTTATATGATCTCATATTTTATCAAATACTAGCACTTATGGTTTCATTTACCTAGAGAAACAATATATTCGCTTCTGAAGTTCCTGGCGAAGCCACCGAGTCGGATGAAGGTAAAAAAGAAGCGAAATACTAGTTAAATATCACGGGTAATATCTACGAGTATAATTTTCACAGATCTATACGAAAAGATTGGAGCGGAGTTATCCAGTGAACATATTACAGAACTTCGATATAAAAACAGTTTGCTGCAACGAAAATTAAGTGCGTAAATCCGGAAACGGGGTTCACAAGAAGTCGTTTGTGTCATAGGGAATTTACATGAGGCGATTTTTCAGGCAACCTTTAGTTGAAAACAACAATCGCCTGGTGTAAACGGGCTTTCAACTAATCGCTTTCAATGACGTTGGTATGCTGCCTTTTTGTCAACTTTTGATTCAACTAATCGCCTGTGAAAGTTGAATCATGCAAATTGCCTATTAGGGCCAGTTTGTCCACGTATCGGAATGACGGGTTTTACCCGACCAAGGGCTGTTGTTTCGGCGCTTTAACCCTGTTTAGGTCGGCGAAATCGCTCAAAAGTTGTACGTCCATAGGGCTATATCTGGAACACATCAAGGTAACCAACCATTCAGCTATGGGAAAACTAAAAATGTAGACCGATAGACCCCCCGTATCGCGACCAGCCTCCCAAGGCACATAAACGTACTCCAACTCAACTGCAACGGACTCCAGAGCAAGATTGAGGAGATAGCAGTCTTCATGGGTCGGCACGGCATATTGATAGCTGCGGTCCAAGAAACGAAGTTGCACAGCAACTCAACTCTGTTGGGTTGCGCCGCCTACAATGTGCTCCGTAAAGATCGCGAGCGAGATAATGGTGGTGGACTAGCGTTCATTCTACACCACACAGTGCAGTATCGGCTAATCGAAGAAGACATCGACCCAAGGGACACTACCCTAGAATGTCAGGGCATAGCTGTCCGGTCAGGCGATGTCGAGCTCGAAATATTTAACGTGTACATACCCCCTGTCACCTGCTGCCCGGCTGAATATCTCCCTGACATAGGTGGGCTACTCAGAGGCGAAAACCGATTGGTAGTAGGTGACTTCAATGCGCACCACGATCTTTGGCACTCAAGCCAAACACCATGAACGACGACGCCCCCACCAGGATTGTGGGCAGCTGCAGCAGCTCGCCAGACGTAACAATTGCTAGCGCTGGTCTGATAAATAGCATATCATGGCGACCTATGCTAACGTTAGCATCAGACCATCTGCCCATAATCATCTCGATCAATAAGCCCACCGACTTTGCTCCCGCGGATCACCGAACCTACACCAACTTCAACAAAGCTGATTGGAACGGCTTCGCGGAAGTTACCGAGAGCAGCTTCGCCGCCCTCCCCACACCCACAGACGTACATGCTGGCGAACGCCAGTTCCGCAAGGTAGCCACAGCCGCAGCAGCTCGCTTCATACCGTACGGACGCATCGCGGAAGTCCGCCCAAATTTCCCGGCTGAAGCAGCTGTACTAGCAAATGAGCGTGACCACCTACGCCAGGTCGACCCCGGGGACCCTCGCTTGAGGGAACTTAATTTGGAGATTTGGCAACTGGTAAATCAACATGAGCGGACAAAGTGGGAAGAGCACTTGAATGCCTGTAACTTCACCTCTGGTGTGAGTAAGCTCTGGTCTACCGTGAGGTCCTTGTCCAACCCGACGAAGCGTGATGACAGAGTGGAAATTTCATTCGAAGGTCACGCCTCATCGGACCCGAAGAAATGCGCGAACTATTTCAGTCGGCAATTCACACTGCATCCTTCGGTAGACAAGGCCAAACGTCGAGTGACCAGGAGGCTGCACAAACTGCCCAAAAACGATGACCACTTGTTTTCACCAGCGGTGAAGTAAAGGGGGCCATCGGGAAGGCGAAAGCCATTGGACCCGACGGAATCTGTATGCTGATGTTGAAACATTTGGGGCCTGTGGGGGTAGCATACCTCACGGAGGTCCTCAATTTGTCTATGACCACTCTCATCATTCCTGATGTGTGGAAATCAGGGAGAGTGGTCCCACTGCTGAAACCGGGGAAGCCCGCCAACAGAGGAGACTCTTATCGCCCGATAACGCTCCTTTCCCCGGTCGCGAAGACACTTGAGGCCCTGCTGCTCCCATACTTCACCTGCCACCTAACCCCAGCGAAACATCAGCATGGCTTCCGTAAAGTGCACAGCACAACAACAGCACTTAGCGCCATAAACACCTAGATAACCCGCGGCCTAAATCGAAACCGCCCCTGTGAGAGAACTGTCCTAGTAGCGCTGGACTTGTCAAAGGCGTTTGACACCGTCTGCCATTCCACGCTGCTAGAAGACATTGAGGCCTCCTCTCTCCCAC